CACACACACACACACACACACACACACACACACACACACACACACACTCAGCTGTTTTGATTCATGAAAGCAAAGTACAGACTTTTTTGTTGCTTTTTTTTGTACAAAGGTGTAGAGGTCAAGATCTGAGTTAATTTGGGATGTAAATAAGAAGTAGAACTCTGAGAAAAAGAAGTAACAAAGAAAAAAAAAAAGTGATATTTGATTTAATAGTGTTTACTTTGCTCTCTTCCGGGTGTGATAGGCAGTTATTTCAGGGCCTGTTCATCCGTGTTTACATAGAGATTGCAGCGTCTAATTAGTTGTGATTTTGGCTCTCCATTGAGGCTGGTTTACTTGCCAATATTAGCTGGGCTAGCTGTTGACCTGGGCCATGTTCAATTAGCCTAGTGTGGTTATCATCGTTGACACTGCGTGTCAAGCGGCCCTCTCTTCACCTCCGAGGTTCTTAACGAGGAGACAAAACGGGGCTTGGCAACTATTGAAGAGCTTACTTTGGTGCGTTTGCGTGGTTGTGTGTATGTTTAAGAAAATGTTTCATAACTACAAACTAGATGATTTGGACAACTGATGCTCAGGGTTTGATTTAATACAAAGTACACTGTTCACAGTTGTCCATGACCATGTTATTTATATTAGGCTGCATTATAACTGAACATTTTCTCCGCTCTGTGATGCACTTCATCACACACTGAATACGAGAAATATTTGAATGATTTAAGTTTCATCACCAATGTTTGCATTGGTAACCGTCTTCGCAGGGGAAAGCATTGTTATTTTTGTTATTGTTGTGCTTTGAGTCTTCCCCATTAAAAGAAAAAAAAGAGCCAGAGCACAGCGGAGGTAGCAAGGGAGAGGAAGCGGTAGAGAGAATTTCCTTGCTTCATTAATTGGCAGCTCTGTGGTACACTAAACATTGCGCGCACACACAGCTAAATGTGTGAGCTGCGACTGCTCTGAAGCCACTGCTTTATATTTAGTCAAGGGAGACGAGGCTCTGTCACTTTTTCTCTTGCTTAACCTCGCTCTTTCTCTTCCGCTCTCTGTGGTCGTGTTGAAGAGGAGTCTCATGGGAGGGCTTAACTCTGAGCCCTCATTCTTTTTTTCTCTCTTCTTCTTCTCTCCTTTACTTCCCCCTTCTACGTCTTTCTTTCCTTATCATCGGCTGAATAGAGCAGCGTACTGTTGTTAAGCTTGGTCCAGGAGTGCAGAGATAGAAGAGAGAACCTGCTTTTATTACTGCCAGCGCTAACTCTGCGTGTGCGCACCATGTGTTTACAGGCACAGTGCATATCCATGAGCCACCAATCTTTGTACTGTATAAGTTGAAATGATGAAGTGTCCAATTTTTCCCTTTTTAGCAGCGAAAGGCATGAAATCAATAGTTCACTTCCGGTGAGACTGAGGTCGGCGAGGCTCCACGTGGCTATCTCCGTACCCTTCACTTTGGAGAGTAATTCCCATGAGGCCTCTGCTGAAATTATGATGTACAACCTGGAAAATGACAGGGGCTTTTGTGTTGTCATGGTTATTGAGTGTTCGGTAGCTTCAGGGGAAATGGATTTTGGGGGGTGGGAGGGTGCTGAGGTGCAGAAAGCACAGGGGAGGAATGGGATGGGTGTGAGTGGGAGGAGGGGGTGCTATCTTAATTGCTTTCCGCGAATAATTCCAGTCCCCTAATTTGGCAATAACGACAGCGGCTGCGGCTTTTGTATTTATTTATCCAAACATTAATTGACAGTACTGACATTAGCCAGGGCGGTTATGGCGCATTTGATTGCGCACAAGGGAGCAAAGAAAATTACAGTAATTATCATTCTGATATGGATTATGAATATGCATTCCCACACTTAATGTGTCTGTCAGCATTTTCGTAACAAGGCACTCTGCCACGACGACAGCATTTTAGCTTATCTCCATCTCCGTTTCCCTAAACCCAAACCAACGCGGTGCGTGTAGAGAACAGACGCTGTGTATTGTCTAAATGATTTAGCTTCCCCACTGTAGCTTTTTAACAGCACCCGGGCATGTGATTGGGGGAAACGGTCGCCATGTGGCTTGTTTCAATGGGCCTATAAAGGGGCCTCAGCTTGTGGAATTAATGTGTGCTGGGTTATTGTGAATGGACATTAAAGTTCCTGATTTTTTTTTGTTAACAGGCCGAAGGAGAAGACAATTTGAAGAAGATGCAGCTGATGGAGCTGGCGATTCTCAACGGGACATACAGAGACAACAACATCAAAACACGTAAGTGAGCTTCCATAGACGCTCATAATTAACACAATCCATCCGTTTTTGCACCATAAACAGCTGATCTGTTACCGTCATTGACCATACTTGACTCTATATTATATTTTCTGTATTTCTAATTAACTATATCGTAATATCTGTGACCACTAGCAGACCTCTTTCTCTCAAGCTCTCCAAACAATCCATGTTTACCTCCCACCTACCCAGCCATGAGTAGGAGATCTTCCATTCTGTTCTACTCCGTACCCC